CTCACTGACGGCGGCTGCCATCACTGTGAGTTATTACCCAAGGGGACTCAAAGGACTTGCCTGGCATCCTTCGCCGAGACTGCACTTCCACCCGCTACAATGCCGCGCCATAAAAAGCGGCGTACTCAGCGGGTCCCCGAGCCTTCTCTAGCCCGCGACAGCACACCGGTTCACCCAAAAAATGACAGCAGAAACATACAAGCATACATGAACATATTGTATTCTTTCCAGAATTATTCAAATAATAGAATTTCAATAGAAATGTGTGTGTGTGGTGTCTTCAGGAGTAAGTTGCGTTATCTCTCTGGCTGAGAGGGGATGATTGGAATTCTTTTGAAGCTTGAGCGAGGTATACGAATGGTCTCTGACGAGGATCGCAAACTAAAGCCATAAAGGTGTCGGAAAGTTCCCATTTACATTCGTGAGTTTAGAGTCTAAAAGCTTTGGGACTTCAGAAAAATGTGCATTATTTGTATTCAGATGATCGAACTAAGATTCTGGTTCAATCCTTAGGTTGTTGGAATGCATGATTCACACTGGCACGGCCCAGATACACTACACGGGACAGCATCGAGTCAGAACTGATGCGTCTTCTTTCACAGGCCATGGCGAGCCTCGGCCTTGAGTGGGAGGCACCCGCGCAGCCTGTGCGCAACCGGCTGGATGGACGGTTTCCTGAGCTCCAGGAAGAAGTTACGAAGCCTTGAACGCCCCCTTCTCAGCCAGAGTGCGTTCCTCTGTCTCAGCAGCATTCTCCATGGTGGACGGTGCAAAAGATAGAGGTGCCACTCTCTTTTCCCCCCATTGGAAGAAGTTGTAGCAGCCCATCTTTTCCCACCCTCTGCTGGACGGCGAGCTAAGATATCGCTACCTTTCAAAGCTTGCCACACTACTTCCGCCTTGCACACCTGCGGTTATTCCGCCACTGGGCTATGTCATTGCACTCTATGTCCATACTGGAGATACTCCTGGCTGACCTTTTCCAAAAAACGGATGAGGAAGGACCGGAACCTATCAGCGTGCCGGATTCTTCACAGCTCCGTCAGGCCTGGGACCAGAGACAACGCTCTCACTCTGCTGGCAGTTCTGATGCAGATGACAAGCACTGCTACATGGCCAATATCGACGAGGAAAGACCTCCTCTCTCAGGCCAAGGGCTCGATTTGGTATCCTCGCCCAGGGCTGTGGTCCCTGCACGCATGGACCATCAACGGGTACCCGTAAACCTCCCGGAGGGAGTGTTAAACACGATCACGCATGCTAGAGCGTTGTCTACTAGATGACTCTATTCCTCAAAATGGTTTGTGTTTTCTGGCTGGTGCAAAGCCCAAGGCTTTCACCCCTAGACTGCGAGGTTACGGAAGTTCTCTCCTTCCTTCAAGAGCTATTGGATAAGGGCAGAATCCTATCCACGCTCAAAGTTTATGTAGCGGCCATAGTAGCGTTTACAAAACCTGCGACTGGCCAGTCACTAGGGAAGAACAATCTGGTCATCCGCTTCCTTAAAGGAGCTAAGAGGCTGAATCCTCCCAGACCACCCTCAGGCCCCATGTGGGACCTTTCCACGGTTTTGGAAGCCATGAAAGGTGCCCAGTTCGAGCCAATCCATTTGTCAGACATGAAACATTTGTCGTTCAAGACAGTGTTTATTATGGTTCCTGCTTCAGTGGAGCGAATAGGAGATTTACAAGCTCTTTCAGTAAGCACAACATGCATGGCAGAGTTTTCGCTAGAAAAAAATAGTGTCGGTCAAAGTGACCGGCAGAGGTTTCGTTTTATGGACATTTTGATGACATGCCGGTCAAATATCGCCTCTTAGTCAAGTTGAGGAAAACTGGAGGCAGGCTATGTAACAAAATGACATAATCAGGGCGTATAGAATGCAACATGTTATTATTAGCCTAACTTTCAAATAGACGGAAAAAAACATGAACGCAGGGCTCAAATTTCGGCACGGGATTGCGGGTATTGCGCATGATTCTAATCATTCCCGCAGGTCTCCCATTTATAATGCGGGATATTTCCACAATCGTAATTCACACAAATTATAAAATCAAATCATTCTTTTAACAACTATCTGCCAGATCTATCTGGAACTATCTTCCACAAACAGCGCGAGTCAAAACAACAAAAGAGAGCTTTAAGTTGAAGGAATCAGGATTAATAGCCTAGGCTATGTATTTAATTTATTCAGGACAAAATAGTGTTATTTTCCATTTGATTATGTTAATCAGTTTCTGTATATAAATACTAGTGTTAGACATATTCAAAAACTTTTCTCTTTATTTGTCTTTATTTATATTTTTATTCTATTGAATTTATTTGTGCTACTTTTTCAATTTAATTAAACAATTTAAATCAAGCCTTGTGTTGTGTAAATTCTTAACAACAGTTTTACCCCATTGTAAAAATGCAATGAGCGCAAACATTTAGGCAAGATAAATGTAATAAATTTGTTTGGAAATAATGATGCGTCCCCATTCAAAGAGATAGGAGCTTTACAAGCATGACTAAAATAGCTGCCCAAGAGGCAATTTAAAGATGGCCGCCAAGCGAAATGACTTGCCATAACGGGAATTTAGAGCTTATTAAACGTCACTGTTTCAATTATTTTGGTCCTGGGACACCTGGGAATGAGTTTTAAGACAGAATAGTAGCCGTCCAAGACTGCGATTTAAGTACAGTATGATTATAACAAGATACTGAAGCTTGAGATGTCCAACCTTTAATCTGAACTCCAGAAGGTGTACAATCAAACTCGCCTCTAGCATGAACTCCTGTTTTAGCATGTCACGTCACATGTCAGGTTACAACAAAGAAGCAATTCTGAAGGTGCATGCTAGAGGGCACAACATGGAGACATATAGGGTGTTTTGAGGAATTTAGGGATAATAACTAAATCTTTTGGGGAAATTGCAGCAGCTTACAAAAACAAACCCGAAACTTTGAGGTCTAGGCTATATCGGTGCATTTCGACAAAAAGCTTTAAAAAGAAAGAAGACTTATCAAAAGACAAGTCCAGACAAAGGACACTTTTTAACATGAAGCTGAGATAAACTCATTTTTGTGTCTGCGTAAAACATGAAAGATGATACATTCCTCTTCCACAAGTTGACATGTAAGTTGTGAGGTACTTTTAGAGCTGACAAGTCAAAAAAGGAGACATGGGAGAAAGGTAACAGTAACAGGTTTGACCAGTCTCTCTCTCTCTCTCTCTAGACACAGGCTAGGCCCTAATGCGTAATAATTTTTGAGAAAATTAATTTTAATTTGTGAACACTTGGGCCATTATATAGTAGTATATATAGTATATACCATAATGTTCAGTCACTTTGAATAAAAATAAAACTATTTAAAAAAAAAAAACTTTATTATTTAAATATTAATATTCTTAACCTAAATTAATTTTAAAAATATGATGATTAATACAAATTTCAAAACATCTATTTCCAGAGAAGGGCAAGCAAAAATCAATATAGATCAATATTTTGTGATGCAGTTAATTGTGCACATTTTTAATCCATTGTTTTTATTATTAAAACATGAAACTATAATAGAGGATGAGCGCAATTTATTACCAATTTAATACTAAAAAAGTGGTTAAAGTTTGAATTGTACTATGAGTTACTCTGGCGAGAGCTTTACAGCTTTGGAAACTAGTAAAACACGAAACATGCAAAAAGCTTCCTTTGGGGTCTAAAGCTATGGAAAGAAGTATGTCAGGTATCAGATGACTCTTCCAGTACTCGTGTGACTGTGCATAGAGGAGGTAATCTCATGCTGAAACCCTGCGATGTAACGAAATTAAATCAACAGTAAAGTGCTCAGATAATGAAGAGAGTAACACATGGAAGAAGATCATGCCTAGAACGCAGATTTGGAAAACCTTACTGACTGGCTGTAAAAACTTGCTCGCTGGTCAGTCATGGATCATCAAAAAGAGTTACAGCTTATGACACTGTCTTTATGGCCACAGGACAAGAGGGTGGTGGAAAACGTTAAGCCACATATGGTGCACTTATTAGAGAAGAAACCTAGTACTGTCAAACATCTTGTTCAATGCATCCCCAGACCAAACCACCAGAGTTATTTATTTACTACCTGAATATAAAGGTCCTACAAAAATGTCAACCAAAACACTATCTAGTCCATGAATAAATAAATACCACATTATCTTTATTTATTACTTTCACTGATGTAAATGAGGAGCGATGACCCATGCATGAATGGAATGTTACAGAGGTTCGTATATGGTACAGAGTCTGCGCGCGCACTAGTTTATGACAGTATGTGCTCGTGCAGGACGTTCTCTGTGGGTTTTTTGAGACCCACAATGAAAAGACGTACGGTTCTCACCGGTCTGACATATGACTCGGTTCTAAATTAAGCAGACCATGCTAACTCTTAGAAATGTTTCAACAGACATCTGTAAACAAACGCTGAGTGAGTAACGTTACTCGTCAGCAAGCAGTTTTTAACCATAGGTAAAAGGGGGCGGGACCACAATTCTGTCAACCAATAGGTGCACTGCAATATACTGAGAATTTAGAATATTAAAGAAGGAAATTAAAAAGGGTGTCATTCCTGAACAAGCGTTACTGCACGTGTTCGGGCTTATCAGCAGAATGAGGCGTTGTCGCTTGCTAAATAATTTTGCTGTTAGGCAGATGTCTTCAAATACTACCATGTAAACTCTGTCAAACGGCTGTTCACATGGGTGCCATTAAACTTCAACATATATACACCATCTGCATTTCAGTAAGGTGGTGAACGGTTAAATATGTTGAAATATAACAAGTGCTAATTAGTTTAAAACCACAAACCCTGGTTTAAAAACATAATTTAAAACCCCATATTTACAGAACCACCAACATACTGTACATTGAACAACAACAACACTCACAAATACCTTTCACGCACCGTTTTGTGGCAAATAAGAAGTTACACACAAACCTATGTATTCACCGGCTATCATGTTATAAGGTAACGTACACACTCACCGATCACCTCCTGCAGCTCATAGTCATCCTTGTTGATGGACCAGGGTTGGGAGCTCAGGTCCTCCGACATGTCTCAGGATTGCGTACCTTTATAGATCCTGATGAATCCAAGCACTGGTGTTGGGTGCTTTTTAGAAAACAACGTGTAAATGTTACTGTAATCCGCAAAGCAGTAGCATTCCAGTTCCTCTCCACGATTATCTTCAATAGCCTTTCTATCATTCCCAAACTTTGCCACCAGCGCCAAAAGCCCCGCCCACCACATTCCTACACACTGACGGGCTCGATTGACGGCCATCTTGGGTGTGTAATAATCACCACCATCATCTTTTATCTCCCTTAAAATATTAATCATTGTAATGTACACGTACACCCCGGCAAAATATCAGTTACTAGCTAATATTACTGCAAAAATTCGTGCCACATTATTTTTCAGTATTAACAATCATTTAGTGGAAGTTAAAGTTATTGTCATTGCAAATATTTAAAAAGCTATTAAAGAAAGAAGAAGAGTCAAGAATTATATACCTTAATAGTTTACACAATAATAGAACACAAGTTCTTTAGGCCTACACAAACTTAACTAAAATTAAACGTCAGTACAGTACTGCAAGAAGCATAACCTCCAAAACTTAATTTAGCACTTTCGCACAAGGTCACTTATTGAAATAATTGTTGAAAAATCGTCCCTAGCTCTATTAAACTTTTAACTTCAAATAGTTTTAAAATGGATTGTAGCCATTTTTTTACAGTTAATTATGCTGCCATCTCGTGGAATAAACAGGAACCATTCATCAAAAAGCATTCATTTGAAAAAGTAGAAGAGTTACAGAAATAATTAATCATTTAATCGTTTCTTTTAATTATAGCTTGATTATTTAGTGATAAGAACATTAATAGAATAACAAAGAGGGTGGGAATAAAGAGCTAAATGTAGGCATTGCTGAGTGTGTCCAATACAATTTAGATATATTTCAAATAAATGATTGGATAATATTAATTTCTGTAAAATTATTTTAGAATGTTGGACGGAATGTTATAAAGTGAGACAAACCAACTAATTCAACAAAACATCACAATCGAACCTTTATTATAATTTAATTATTGTCACTTCCTGGAGGATGATGTTATTAAGCAACTGACTTTAGTTAAAGGGATATTGCAAAAGACTAAAATAAAGTTAAAATTGAGAACACCGAAAATCCTTTAAAATGAAGATCGATTACAACAAAATTCCCAAGAATATTTTAATAAATTTTATATTAAGTTATTAAGTGCACCTGGGGACAACATGGAAAAAACAAAAAAAAAAAAAACTACTATGAATTGTATATATATATATATATATATATATATATATATATAAACGAGAGACATCTCACACCCATGCAACACATTTCAAAAAGTTCCTGGTTCAAAAAGGTGTGCTGCTTGTTGGTTTTCCTAATCAGCTTCAGAAGAATGTATTTCTCGCTTCTTCGTAGAAAGAGTTTCCACTAACAGGAAGTGGTAAATGGGGCCAACTTGATCTATACAGACGTACTTGACTCTGTACACACATAAATGACCTACTATATAAAATATGATTAAGCTTTGTGCTATTAATGCAAATAATCCACACACACACACACACACACACACACACACACACACACACACACACACTGTATGCACAATGCTGTCATTATGTCTTAACGGGGAGCACAGGAGATAAAAGGTGTTTTGTTTTCATATAAAAATCAATAAAAAATGACCTGTACAGAATATAAGTATTGACACAGGCAACAATACAAACCCAGTATCATAAATTGTTAAAACAGAGGAAGCAAAACTTTTGAAATGAATTCTCTGCAAAAAAAAAAAAAAAAAAAAAAAAAAAAAATATATATATATATATATATATATATATATATATATATAGAATCAACAGTCATAAAGTCTGATCTAACAGAACAAATGCCATTATCTTTTCTGTGCAGATGAACATGTGTCGTCAGAGGAAGATTGAGGTATTCAAGAAGTAAAAACAAGGTTAACCAACCGTGAGTGCGTACCCAAGATAAAGATTGTGACCGTCTGGGAAATGCCGAGTAATAATGTTCATGGCAAATAGCAGAACAAACATAATATACACAAATATATTTCACATGAATATTGTATAACACAAAACACTGCCAGTATGAAATATAGATTAACAACAGAGCAAAAAAGTGTTAATGTTCTTGTGTGCCCATAGCACTAAATACAGTGGTTTTTAATAGACTTTGATGGTTCCATGAAGAACCTTTAACACATTTCCATTCCACAAAAGGTTCTTTAGATTATTAAAATGTTCTTCACACTAAGATGTTTCTTTTAAGAACAACATGGCTCTTCCATGGCATCGCTGTGAAAACTCCCTTTCGGAACCTTTATTTTTAAGAGTGTACCATCACTGCAAGAGGCTATAATTAAAGTTTAGTGATAGCAAATCGGGAATACATTGAAATAACAGCTGGATGATTATGCACATTCAGATTTCACATGCAAAAATACTTAACATGAACAAAAAACAAAACAAAAAAAACAACAAAAGAAAACCTTCTGCACATTACAAAAAAGACAAGAAAAAAAAAAACTTTTGGGATTTGCTTTGGAAAGCCGAGAAACCTTTTGATAAGGGCAGATGTAAATACCATAAAAAGTACCTTTCTTAAAATGTTCATAAGCTGGACTCACTACTGAGTCCAAGAAACTCTCCAAGCGAGCAAAAATCACAGAAGGTATTTTCATCCCTTCATCCTCCATAGAGAATAGTGTGCTTTACCAAGTGATGCCCATATAGTAAACCTCAACAGAAGAGTTCAGGGGAGTGAGAGCGCCTTGCCCAGTCGGGTCCAGAACCAAGCCTGTGTGCAGGGTCTGGTGTAATCACAGATAGTCAGAAAACGGAGAATGCTTGGAAAAGGCTTCTTCATTGTTTTGTAGACAACAGGGATTAGGCGTTTAGAGCGAGCTCCTGCAGAAGAGACAAAACGAAAAGAGCATTTCTATGCTGCTTTTATAGCTGCATTATCCTTCACTTTTCATGACATGAGATGCAAAGTTCGGCACAGCTTATAATATTGATCATATATCATATAAAGAGATGGAAAAAACATATAGAACAACAACTGCAGAACTCAATGGTTAAAATATAGCTGCAAGCATCGATGATGGGCTCAATCACCACCTGTTGGCTCTAGAAAACCAAAGATTTTATGTGGGTAAATATAGGACTATTTCAAAAGCCTGTTGCAAGTGACACACTTTCTGCTTCCTGCTGTAAGGTGGCGATATGACTGTTACTCACAATAGTCATGTGATCAGCCTCCATGACCAAACATTCAGCTCAAGTTTGACCAAAATCACTTAATGCACACAGAAAATAGGAGACACTTCCTGTTTTACTTTTAACCACCACAAATTCATATCCCAGCCATGGCAAAACCAACAATCCATATAAAGTGATGTATATAGAAGCCATATAACACATTTTATACTATATAGAAATTAAATCTTAAAATGTAAACTGTTATCTCTTTTTTTTTTTTTTTTGCTCTGCAAAATGTTGTAAGCAAAATCCAGTCATTTCACTAGGAATCAGAACAATCTGGAGTTTTGTGTAAAGGTGTGAATCCCGGACATCGACGGCCGGACATGTCCGGGAAAAAGAGGATGGTAACCCCTACTACTCAGCTTTCTCCACAGAACAAGAGAGCCTGCTAGCTTAGCTTCCAAAAAAGATGGGTGACACTATGTGTACATTCTGTGAGTGAGATCCCACCCTCTATGGGCGGGTTGAGAACATGCAGGACAGCCCCTATACATACTGTAATCTTTAAAAGGACTGACTGTAAAAAAAAACTGTGAAACTGTGAAAAAATACATAAATCTCTCGTCTCAGGGGGATATGAGGGTGGAAAGCATGGTAATTCGAAAATACTACAGGTTTTCTACTACTACAAAGTACAAAGCTTAATGCTAAATCCTAAAGTATCCCTTTAAGTGGTTCAAAAAGCACTTTGGCCCTAACAAACTCACTTACTGAAGAAATTAAAACAGTAATGCAACTCAAATAAATATTAAAGATATTATACCTGGGCAAAGGCTGAGTGCAAACTTAGTCTGAAAGTCACAGGCATCACTGTCCAGATAGTCATCGGAAATTACCACCACCATCCTCTTACACCTATGGGACATTTCTTTTTATTACAAACATTGCAATTGATTATAAACATGAAATCTAGAAATGAATAATATTAACTAGGCATGCTCCAATATTAAAATTCCAGCCAGTACTGATATGCTGATTTTTGCAATTATGTTACGGCTGATAAACAATAAATCAGTGATATGATATTATGTACAATTTAGTTTAAAACAAATGAAAAATAAACAACGAAAGTCACCACAACTGTACGCTATAAAGGATTTCAGTTTTAGAAATATTACAGCTAAATATTACAATTAAAAGTTTTGTAAAATAATCATTTGTGTGCGTGTGTGTGTTGAGCATTGGATGAAAAATAACCCAAAACTGACCTTTTCTCTATGAGCTCACTGGCGATGGTCCACACACACGTGCCAGGAAGGACGTCTCGGTCAAATACACACAGCTTCAGGTTGTATTCAGTCTGTTCCAACTGTTTGATCATCTCATGGACAAACTGGAAGTCATTCTGACAATAGCAGATGAAGGCATCAAAGGTCTCTGGTGTTAGTCCTGTTGACAATGAAGACAATGATGATTACCAACTAATCATTGTCTAAACGGATAAACAACTAACTCCACAGTGAATTCAGACTGAACAAGGAAAAAACTCACCTTGTGGATCATCATACAGCGTGATTCCTTCTCGCTCCTTTGTGCGGGGCCCGCAGCTGTCCACCACTGGAACCTGGACGGGCTTCCTCAGTTGTCTTTCCAAATACTTCCTGCAGTCATCATCTGTTCAATAAGAAATAATAACACTTAGTTGGAGACTTTCGCTTCTTGTCCAAAATAATCCATGACATTGCATGTTTAAAATGGTAGTCATGATGATTCATACTTTTCTCAATCGTGGTCTTTGAGCATATGAGTTCAAAAGATGTCATGTAAAAATGTCTGTTACCATATTAACATAAATATAAGCTGAAAGAAGAAAGTCATATACACATAGGATGAATTGAGGGTTAGTAAATTATGAGACACATTTTATTTGGGGGTGAACTAACCCTTTTATTATGTAGACAAGAATTACCAATAAGCAAGACCTTTCTTATTCACTTTTTTCTACTTATGGGTTAAGAACAACAATACTAATATTTATAAAATCTTTACTAAATAAATAACTTTTATTTTTTTAATATTAGTAGCAAACTTTTTATTCATCAATAATAATTGTAATATTTTGATATATTTTAATTATTGACATTTTAGTAGCAACAGTAATAATAGTAAATATGTACTGTATATTATTAGGCTACAACAAGCTATATCACATAATAAAGTATATATTATAATAAAATAAAATATGGATGGCATACCTATAATCTCTTTGAGGTCTGATATAACATCTTTCCTTTCCGCTTTTTCTAAAATCGACAGTAAATTTGCTACAGTGGCCTCTGGACGAGTTTCCCACTCCGTTAAAACCTTTTCAAAGGGATAATCTCTTTTCTCGAAATTTTTGATCTCCAGGTAGGTATAGTCCATCATTTCGGCGACTGTCCTCCAGTCTGCTGCCACCGTGTTTTGAGGATTCAAATACAGTCCCAGTTTCTTTCGGAAATTGCAGTTTAAAGCTGTTACTGGAATCTCCTCATGGTTTATACTTAACTTTGATGCCATATTTACGGGCAACTTCTCACTGTTATCCACTGAGATTGTTATATCCTCTTTAAAAAGCTAAATATCTCCAGGTGTCATTTACTGAAGATACCGATAAACTGAAGGAAATAAAAATGTGCGAATATATGCTACGCAGTACAGAACACTGAACAACAACACATGTTGTTTAATCCAAGAGAAGATTCAGGAAATGTTCGCAAAACTAGAAAACGTCAGAGAAATGACGCAATAAGCGTACAGCCAAAGAAAGGACTCATGACCGTGCAAAGTTTACGGAAACAATGGAGGATCGACTGTTTCAGGATCGGCTGTTAGAGTCTAGTGCTTCGTGGAGAAATCAGCAAAAACTGATCACAGGTCTGCTTGCAAGAGCACAGAGCTAAACGCCAAATATGGACAATTTCCGAAACATTTACGCTAAAAAGTTATGGAGAAAAAAAGGCTTCAAATGGTCTACTTCCCAAGAGCGTTTTGGTTCAATGTTTTATATATTAGGTAAATACTTGTCTATGTTTGGATTTTTCAGTGTTGAATTTATTGTTAATTATAATGTTATTATAATTTAGACAACATTAAGAGTAAATTTGAACAGAGAATTATCCAAACATAGATAATTAAAGACAAGTAAATAAATGTGGTCAAGTGTTAGGAGAGTAAAAAATAGTCTCACTAAAACACTTTAGTTCACTTTAGTTGTTAGCATAAATATTTTACAAAAAAAGAAAGAAGCAGCAAAGCAATTTAGTTTCCAGTGGTTCACAAACATGCACGAAGCAATTTTGTTGTCATGTCACGTGACAATAAACCAAACCATAGCACATAATTACCACTTTAGAATATTACATATTTTGTGTAAGTGCACATTTGTTCACGTCAAATGAAGTAGCCCCATGAAAAGTCCTTGATATTCATACCTCAAAGAAAAGTTATGATAAAAGATGCAGGAAAAGTATTGCAGTACTTTTTATTTATTACACTGACTTGTAATGATAGCACACAGCTGTCTTACAGCCTTTCCCCTAGCTTTTCAAAACCAAACTGAAACAGTTGGCCCTTCTCACTTCCTATTTCCGAAGAAAATATTATGAATGTGCACATTATCCAACCTTTTTCACAGTTTGTCTATAATTTACAATAAATCACTGGCAAAATGCAAAACTCCCCCCAAAATTATAACTATTACACCAGTGTGTATAACTTTTCAACACACTGGACTAAACCAGGACATTTGCAGATTTTATGAAAACAACCAAAAATACAATATTGTATCCAATACAATATATAAAAACACATCAAAATTAGAGCTACAGTTTGTCATAATGTCCTTAGAATGTGTGCAGCAGTTTCTGTTTCTGCATGTGAAAACTGATTCGGAAAGAGCAACACAAAACCACACCATTTTTTTCCATTTCCCCTTCCTCATTTCAGTCTGTAACAGATGCCTCACTACTCTGTAATGCAGCTCAAGATAAAGCACCAATCCACTACATCTCAGAAACCCTTTTTCTTGGAGAAGTAGAAGTCAATGCCTCTGTCTTTGTGTTGTCTTGGTGTGTAAGATGAGCCCCTCTTCCCTTTTGCTGATGATGGACCAGACTGAAAAAGAAACCACAAATATATTGTGTTGCTTTTCCCCCTCTAATAGTCAATAATAATCAGTTGTTAATAATCTTACTGATTTGTTGTTGACATGGCGGCTCCACTCGGGCGCGATGACGATGGGCGAGGGGTATGTGTCGTTGAGCAAAACCTTGGCGTGTGAGAGTGCCGAGTTGCTGAGAGTCCATGGCGTGTGCACGTCCCCACCTTTAATACCTCCAAGCTCTGGAACCCACTGTCGGACATAATCCCCCTTCGCAGATACAACATTTAGTGTCAATTTTGCACAGAAAAATACCTTATTATGCTACATTACTATCTCAGACACATCAGACATATGTGTAACTGCCTCTTCCTGTAAATTTTACATTTATGTTCATAGCAAGTGGAATATACCAGGACATGCATTTACAAATATATATATATATATATATATATATATAATATATATATCAGTTTAGGCCATAAAGGCAGGTGTTAATTCATTATTAATGATAATTTTAATCATTTAAACATCCATTTTATTTGCTTATATTAGATAGACTCTAATTGAGCACTTTTATTTAGCCTGTTTTATATTGGCTAACACTATTATTTATTTATTTTACAATGTCCTTGTTACACGTCACATGTAGTTACTCTAGTAATAACTATAAATTATGTATAATAACACTATAACAAGGACAACTTAAAATAAATTTTAACTTAACCTTATTTTGTTTTGTTTTTAAATAATGTTTTTAATGTAATTTAATTTAAATCATTCCGAAAGGCTGTTAATTGTTAATCTGTTAATTTATTAATTACAATTTATGTAGAATACAACAATGGTTTGATATTTTCATGTTTCCCTTTCCGATTTTGGTTTTAAATTAATTGTTTTAGAATTTTACTATTTAAATTATGTTCAATTGTGACAACTTACCCCTATATTATGCAATATGTGTAGTGAACTGTATTTTCTCGTTGGTAAAAAAAAAAAGACTACTTTCAAAAATAATAATTAACCTTTAAAAATAAAAATAAAAAGTGTGACAACTAGACAACTACTCTCTCTTACATTTTTTATGCTTAGATGTACTAACAAAATATATGAATCAGAATGCAGGTGTTTTTTGGTTTTATGTTCTAATACCGTAAGAGACCTGTAAAAAACACTGCTTACGTTATTGTCATAGTCCAGTCCTTGTTTGATCATATTAAACTTCCTGTTTTCTCGAGGGTCATTTCCTATTCCGGCACTATAGAGCCAGTTTCCATAGTTGCTGCAGACGTCATGGTCTACCTGATGACAATGAAAGATAATAGCGCATTAAATGGCAGCAAAGATCAGGAAGCATCAACCCACTCCATCGAATATACTGCAGCAAACGTTTCTCACCAGCAGGTATTCAAACCACTCAGCGCCCAGTCTCCAGTCTAAGCCCAAATCTTTGGTCAGAAAGCTGGCCACATTTTGACGTCCTCTGTTGGACATGAATCCTGTCAGCGCAAGCTCCCTCATGTTCGCATCTACAAACGGCACCCCAGTTCTCCCCTCTGGAAAACATGGGAAAAATATCTTGCTATTAATTCACATAGGTTTGGAGCAACTTGAATGATGGAGCAACGAAAATGATGACAGAATCTGAATACTAGCAGACTCTCTGAGGGACACATTACCTTTCCATGCACAGAACAATGTCATATCTGTTTTCCAGGAAACCTGCTTGTCTTGCAGACCTTCAGTTCACGAGGGATGAAAAATGATCATTTTAATCATTTAAACATCCATTTAATTTGAATATTTTATTAGAATGTAATTTAGCTCTACAACGTTTTTATTCATTTGCTTATGATTGTTATGTTTTGTTGTTTTTGGCTTCCTCAGTTAGCTTTGTGTCAGTTAAAGGTAAAATAAATGAAAAAAAGACCAAATTGGACAATTTTGAGAATTGACACAACTGCTTTCAACATTGATGATAATTAGAAATGTTTATTGATTGAGTAGCAAATCAGCATATCAGAATATTTTTCCCTCGTAGTCAATAATTTTATCCCTTAGTTAAAACATATTTAAAGTGTTTGCTCCACTTACTCACACAAGCTAAGAGATCTATTAGATCAACTTTACTCAAGTTACTGTATTGCTATTTACAAGGTCGAACACATAACAGTAGGGTTGGGAATTGTAAGAAATGTTCTGGTTCCGGTTACGCCTAACGATTCTGGATCTGAATCAATCAAAATGATTAAACAACTAATAAAAAATTAGTAGTAAGAACAATCCATTTTGTGTTTATTTCTTATACTTGTCAAATGAGTTTAACGGACGGGTAATGTAAACAAATTCAACATTATTTAGCAATTTGTACATTCTCTATGAGAATTTGAGACCTCTCCTAGCTTATTGTCTTTCCAACACAAGAGAATATCGATCCAGACAGGTGAAACAGAATATGTAGCTTTAACTGTCATATCTTTATGAATGTATTTCATATATGTAATCGATACACTCGTTAAGCGACTTTCAAAAGGTTATTTACTCTATTTTGGCTGCTATCATGTTTTTACACTATTTTTGATCAAATAAATGCAGCCTTGGTTAGCATAATAAACTTATTTCGAAAACATTAAACAAACAATCCAAACTTACCATTAATATTAAATATTCTGTCTCCGTATTTTAAACCCACAAACTTGAAGTAGTCTCTCCACAGAAGTTCAAATATCACCCTGGTGAAGACAAAATTTGTATCCTTACACATAAAAACCTGAAATGAGTTCATCTTCTTTGACAAACACATTCCAGTTACTCACCAGTACGTGCTTTGATTGGCGGTTCGTTCGGCCTCATACTTCTTTATCTGGTCATAGATGTATCTGGGTGATATGCATCCCAACGCAAGCCTGAATTAAAGTGAAGGAGAGTCAGCATTAGTCTGTGCTTTGCTTATGCATAATGAAAACATCATTTCGAAAGCTCACCAAGGAGAAAACTTTGTAGAATAGTCCACTCCCATCATGCCATTCCGAGTCTCCTTATAAGACGCAACGGCATTCTGTGATAAAACAAGAACATGAAATTACCTTCTTTTACTGATTAAAATAGTTTTAGGAAAAAGGAAGAGCAGGGCTCACTGTATCCCAGAAGTAATGTTTCAGCCTATCAAGAGCTTCGGTCTCTCCACCGCGGCATGGGAAGGCCGAGCGGCAGTCCATCACAGGCTCTGAAACCACAGATAGGTCATACATCATGGCATAAGATAAATTGTTTTATCCTCCAAATATCCTTCTGAGGATTATTCAGTCATCTGTGAGGAAATCAGAGCACAATTCATATAAAACTGCAATATTAAGAAATAGGAAATATACTGACTGTTATGTTTTGTATCTAGAGATATTGATGAAGTTTACTTTAAATGAGATTTAATCTGTTAAATGTCAGTAGCTACGTTTACATAAAATCATTCCGATAGATGAATCTGAATATAGTGTTTATTATGTACTCTGAATAAAGTGATCAGATTTATGTGTGTGTTACCAGGTTTACACATATTCCAGTACAGTTACTGTATGTAAATCAAGGTACCTGTTTGTCCTAGGCCCTCAAATGTAGGTATAAGACCCTCTTCCAGTCCAAGGGGAAGAGATTTAACCTTTTCCGGGGTGGAAAGGACCGGTCGCACTCTGCCTTGTCCCTCAACCACCTTTCTGAACTGGGTGTAAACATCAGGTAACCTTTCAAAGACAGAAACAGAAACAGTGGACTTAAAATAGTTTCCAATACTTAAGGAAAGTTAAAGTTTTTTTTTTACAAAGCTTAGCTAGATTGAAGTGGCTAACGTGAATGGACTAAAGTAACTGGTAAAACAATCATTTTATTTATTTTTTTGTTATATGTCAGCACCAAAATCTATTTTTATGACAAGAACAGATTAGTTTAAAACACAATATACTGTATATAATCTATATAAAACACAGTATATATAATATAAAACACAATATTAAATAATGTCTTAAATACATATTCTTAAAAATTCTATTCAAAAAATTCCTTAAAATTTGTGATGTTGTGTTTTGCATTCTCAGATAATGTTTTCTTATTCCCTTTTGAAATCAAGTTACTGTTTGGAAAAATATTTGAAAGAAAGAACAGTCTTCAGAAAATCTAAAATGTATATTAAGATTTTTTTTAAGTATAATTTAATTATTTTAATGGCAAAATATTATATAGAGAGGCACTGACAGTTTACATTATACTCCCCCAATTTTGAAACATTAAGCTCATGCAGAAACTTAATTCAACACGAGAGTTGTTAGTAACCTAAAACTATTAAAAATAATTTCCATAATTGAAATAAAACATAAAAATTGGTCAATCGTTAAAAACTGAAATTTACAAAAATACATCAATATTTACTTTACTTAAATATGTACAATACTTATTGAAATAAATAAGTTGTAAGTATTAAAAGTATTAAAATGAATAAAACTCATAAATGGAATCAAAATAAGTGGAAGGGATATTAAAAGAATGAAAAACTACAATAAAACTGACAAAAGCACATAACAACATAAAATAAAAAGGCAAATTCAAAATATAAATAAACACGATAATAGCATATAATACTGTAACACTTGTCCTACCCTCCAATGTGCCTGAATGGTAGATCATCTCGGTGGTAAAGTGTAGAGCCCCAGAAAGTCTGAACTTTGACTTTGTTTTGGCAGCAGATGTCCTTTAGCTTCTTCTCCACAGTCTTTTCCTCTGACGCCACCTTCAGGCAATAGACAAAAAGACTTGTAGGCTACATTTCCAGTTTACAGACCTGTATGAGGCCACTCTGAAACACACCTCCTCATGAAACGCCACAGCTGAGACTGAACCCAGCTGCTTAATCAAATCACCAACAACATCCTCCGGCTTTCCTTGCCTGACCAACAGCGTGCTACACAAGGGCATACAAACATTATATTCACCATAAAACATCAGTATGTATTTGTATGTGGACAAAATGTACATCCTGTGTGTGATGGGAAATTCCCACCTGCCCCGTTTCTTCAGTGTTGCTCTCAGGTCTTTAACACTGTCCAGGAGGAAAAGTAAACGGAACGGACCAGTCTTAGGGAAGTTGAAGTTATGGGTGCCCTGGTAATGACGTGGGTCGAAGCAGTAGAGGGGGATTATGTGCTCCGCATTCCTCTGAGCCCAGTGAAACACCTGGATGAATGGAGTAAAACCAGTTTGTTGTGTTTTTTTAAAGGTCCCACAAAGCTTAACATGTCAAAGCAAGCAGAGCAGTTCGTAAAACTTGAACAGTGTAGTTTATAGACCTACAATTTGTTTACTGATTCAAAAGATAAATAGGTAAATATATTGGGTAGTTTGTCAGTAAGGGTCACAAAGGGCATGGTCAAACGCTAGCACTTAAACGCTAGGGAGAAGGTTACATTAAACACACGCATTTAACATTAAATTATGATGTTAAATCTAAACAGTATTTTATGCAATTACATAATTAAATTACAGTGTGTGAGAGTGTGTGAGTGAAATCTGAGAGAACCAAATCTGCCAATTAGAATTTTAAAGATCATGTGAGGCAATTATTAATATTTTAACAATTAATAATATTAATATATAGCGGCACAATATATAAATTATGTATTATACAAGTTTATTAGTCCTTAGAAGCGCTAGTATGTGACCACGCCCTCTTGTGACGAGGTCAACAAACTACCCAATGAGCGGCCAGATTTCGCCTCAGTTCCTATAAAGTCCATTTATTATTCTCAAGTGTTCCGTTTTGCGTAAAAGTAATATTATTTAGAGAATCGTTGTGACGTGTTAAATCTCGAGCTGGACATCATTTCATATCGAGCAGGACAAGTCTATGCACACGGATTT